GTATTTAGCCCCGTGCAAAGCATGGTTTCTAAAAGATTTCTGCAAATACTGAACATGTTACCAAAATAAAGTATTTTGCTTTAGATATGAAGTAGTAGATGTAATGCAAATAATAAAATTTGTTACCTGACTTGTAGAGTTAAATTGTTACCAGACATGGCTTTTATCATTTCTGGGAAACCTTCTTCGCCATTAACCTGAGCAATGAATCATAATTTTTTAGGCACATACTTTATATATGTGCTTTAAATACTTGTAATTTTTTTTGATCAAATGCTACTTCAAGCTGTTCAGTTTATAGGATGTTAAATTCATGGGCTAAAAAACCTAAAATGACATGATATTTTCTTTTTAGGCTTATTATCATAGATCATATCTAAAAAGAGTTTAGTTTTGCAATTGTAACATGTACTTCAATTGATAGGACCCAAACTCAACTCTTACTGGTAGGATTCTAGTGAAGCCTTTTTAAGATAACTTATATTTGACTTTATCTGTTAAAAATAGATTGTTTGTTGTCGTTACCCATTAATATAATTTTACAAATCGGATTATTGTCTATATCCTTCACTCAAGGTTAGTCTATCTAACCCCGACCATTTCCCTGTTATGATTATTCGTACTTGAAAAATGCCATGCTTATGGTATTGGCTCTCAGGAATATTCATTAGAGTTTCATTGCTGCCGTTTACCAGTATCATAAAGTGAATAATATTTATTTTTGATGTGTCAAATATGACACTCGTAGAGATACACAAAGGTTTGTCCCTTTTTGTGGTAGAAAAGGCAGGAATTAGAAGTGAAAAGAATAGAAGAGGGACAAATATTCTATAGAGGGGATTAGGTTGACAGTCACAGATTCAAAGTGGTCATCGAATATCTCAAATTTTCAATGCTGGTGGTTATGCCTGATTTCTTGTTTAGGTATATTGAAAATAAAGCAAAGCAATCCAATGATTCCTAAGCCTAATCCATTTCAAATTCTGAATAAATGGAAGGATAAGAAAAACTATAAACAACCAAGTAAAGTGAATCCTATCTGATTCCTAAAATCTGTGAAATTCTGAACTATACAGCTATATGTCAAACCAACTGTGATTCTTTGAGATTCAGTGATATTTGATGGAAGGATTTTCTTTCATGGATTTACTGCAGGCAGGACTGGTCTTGACATAACACATGCAAGTATAACATACAAAGGTCCTGCTAATTGTAATTACAGTATCATTTCATGAGCTGAAGCTCCCTGGAGGTTAATCATAATAGATTATAGATTGTTGTCAAAGGCAGAAACCGGGAAGATACACGACCAATGAAATTACACAGGTAGCTGGAGAATGATAATGACAGAATAATGGCCCTAAATCAGGATTGACTTGAAAGCATTACTGATTGTACTCATTGGGACTGTGTTGCATGTGACTCATGGTATGTTTGAAAACCGGGAGTAGCAACCAGTAATTTTAGATGAAGAGGTCTAAAAGTTGATGTCATGAATTATTTTGTGGCATTAAATTAACTACCGATGAGCTGAGGCAGATAATGATTGGAATTCTCTTGTAGGCTGAGGAACTAATAGGTAAGTTAACAGTAAGGAGGGAAAGTGCTTAAGCTGAAAGGTTACCGCGGGTTGATCAAATGACGTTAACTGGCAAGTTAAGCTCCTAACTTATAATGCTTCAAACCTGATTTGGAACATGCCTATTTTATGAAGTTTAAAAGTTTAAAGTGAATGCCAATTATATATGTTAATATGTTCAGTTTCTGATTTAACTACATGTAGGATTGCGAGGTGTAAACACGTATTAACATCAGTAGGTCAGTTGTTCCATCAATATTTCTTTCTTACTTATATGTTCCAAAACCTGATCCACTGATATTAATACAATAAATTGTCGAGTGTCTCTTATCTAGAACTTGTAACAATAATATTCTCGACATGAGACGCTTCCCGTCTTTAGTGCTTTAACACCTACAAGTTTGCATGTTAAGTTAATTTTTAATGTTTTAATATTATTAAACAATTTTAATTATAATTTACCTTCTCTTTCTCATTTAAATATGTCTTCTGCAGTAAGTTTGTTGAGCACTTGAGATGTTGTAGTTAGTTGTTTTGAATGGCGAATATCATTTTTCTCCCTTCTTTTAATATTTTAGTGTCATCCAACATCTCCACCTGGAAAGAGTAAATGATACTGTAAATGATCATAACAACCAAAATAGTGCTTAAATTGATGATTCTTTCCGGAGTGTGAATGGACAACTATTTCTCTCTCATACGGAACATTTTCATTATTTCCCTCTACCCAGACAGCTGCAACCTGATCCACTGATGGCGAGTTGTAAACACGTTGATCTACTGCAGCATCTCTATTTATTATGATCTTGAAGTCTTCAAGAGATGGATAATCATTCAGTTTCCACAGGAATTTTGCATATGGGTTTCCTTCTAATATATCCATCAATATTTTAGTTGTAGTTATACTCATGTTTGAATTATCTAATATTCTCATTCGATTTTGCAACTCATTCTCCATATCGTAGAAGTAAAGTTGAAAGTAAGAATGCTTGTTTTCTTCCAGAATTAGAGAGGGGAGATTATGGTATATTTGTCCTTGTGCTCTAAACGTGAAAATACCTTTCTTGTTTGATGCAAGCTCTCTATCAAATCTTGCCCCAAATGATGTGAATGAGAAAATGCTATTATACTTTCTGGTTTGTCTTCGAAACTCAATTGCCTCTTGGGTTTGTACTGTGTAAAGGACATATAACTTGTCAACATTCACATCTGCTAGGTGGGTTTCACAGTTGTGGCAACAGGATGTCGGTATCTCGCGTTCAAACTTTTTTGCTCCACAAAATGAACAAGATTTTGGAGTGAGTAGTTTATGTAACAGAACATACTGGTTCATGGTTAATTTGCCCTAGAAAGAAAATATTAGTTTTTAGTATTAAATAATTTTAGATATATAAAATCATGTATTTATTTTAATAAATTATAAAATTAATTTATGCAAACCTCCATGCTCATATTCCCGATGTTGCGCTCCACATAACAAATCAATCTTACATTGTCGCTTGCTATTGGTACTAATGCCAGCAAAATCATTCATTTTCCTCTTTCTGTTATTATTTATGACTTTCTAACTGTATGTTCTCTTCTAATCAACACTCAACTGATTATATTTGGTTTTCTACCATCATGGATTAGAATGTGTTTTTCTGTTAAAAAAATAATGAAATATACTATTATTAAACACATAAACACACAAAGCAATGATAATATATATTTATGTTGAATTCAAACCTTGGTTTGTAGTCATTTGGAAGAAGGTACTCTTATGCAAATGTATAGGGATTATGCAATCCAAGAATTAGAATGTAAATTTCTACAAGGTAAAGTAAATTTAATGCGTTAAATTATTGATTTTATTTAACATAAGCATATCAGTGAATATAATTTGAGAGAATAAGTATATTTTAATTGATGTTCAATAGTACTTGAGGTTTTCTTCTTGAGAAATTTGGTACACTATGCATGCATCAGTAATCACAAATATCTCATATGCTAAGGTTAATTCTATTTTTTGAAGTCATATAATAATAATAGTAATAAATATTTAAGTGAGGAAGAAGATAAATACGAGGAAATAAAGTTACCATCACTATGAACACAAATAAAGAGAAAATAGAATAAAGTTGCTTTACTCACCTGAATCACCCACAACCTTAGAAACGTTTTTAAGAAAAACAAGCCAAATCCAACCAAGTACAATATCTGCATTTATATAAAAAAATGTTAAATTATTTAATCTAGACGTAAAAGTGTATTACAAAAGTGCACATCATTTCACACATTGTTTTGAAAAGATGCTATCAATTTTATGTTAGAATATATACGTATACGCATGTGCGTCTATATACACACATACATACATATTAGAGAATTTTTGGCTAGACTGTACTCAATAGTGTACAAAATATGGACACATAGATACTATAAGTGCAATGTTAAAATCTGGATTCCAAAATTCAAATTTCTTACCACTGGTTATGATGTAATACACATGAATTATATAGAAACAATTTCCAATGATTTTCGATGCGTCTTAGATCATAGTTCATAGATAAAAGGGGCAAATTTAAGCAACTTAATGGAAATTATAAAACGTTTATGTTGGCAACATATGCGACATAGGTAAAATATGTTGAAATCCTTTGAAATTTATTTATGGATTCATGTGTCCTACTCTTTGGATTTTCAATATTTAGAATCCTAATTTTGAATTTTGATTGATAGTATCTAAGTTTTGGATATTACTAACAAACTAACAGTAGCATAGTTTACCTCTTGTGTGGGTGGGAGTGGGTGGGAGTGTTGAGGGGTGAGTCTGGGCCCTTTGGGAGCTCTTGAGAGTGCATGGTGTGTGTGTGTGTATATAATTACGATAATAAATATAATCCATATACATGCATATATGTTCATGCAATCATGAATTAAGAGTCAAAACAATTATTTATAAAAATATAAAACAGATTTTGATAGCATATAAATAAATAGAGTTCATGTACATGCATGTGTACACATGTTCATGCAATCATGAAGTAAGAGTCAAAACAATTATTTTTAAAAATATAAAACAGATTTTGATAGCATATATGCTGCCTCCCATACATTTTTATGACTTTGCTGAAGCAATATGACTTGAATCTTCAACTTGATACGAAATGCTTAATACAAAATGTTTATGCATATCTAAGCTAATTTTATACAAATCCACATTTATAGCATTTTCTACTATAGTCTTTGGTGTATAACTGAAATGCATCTCAAGCATAAAATGACAAAGAAGTGCACGTGAAGTGTATGATAAAATCATAGAAGTGTATGCCGGGTGTTTTAAGTTGAAATATGTACTTTTTCAGTTGATATATTTGTTTTGATTATCAAATCCTTATATCATGTTTTCATGTATCTTAATGCTATTTCTGTTTTCCAGATTGAGGACATGTGCAGGTGGACAACAGCCTCTGTTGTTCTTGTTATACCAGAATCTGAAGGTTCCAATATCTATATATTGCATATTCTAAGTAGATACTTGTATTTTGATTACTTTCTCTGCATGAGTCTATTGATGTTGTTAACATCTGAAGTTTCGTATCCACCCTATTGGATAACTCCGTCCTTATGCTGGTCAAAGTTCATGTTTTATGTTAAATACAGAAAATCACATCCTCCTAACTTGGATGGAGAAGCTTAAGTATCTGTTTAATTTTTAGAAACCAATAGTTTTTTATAGTATTGAAGTCACATGTTTATGAAAATATCCATATAATAACAAAAATGATTTTATTCCTAAATTGACTCAATTTCATCTACTTCCGAGGTACTTCGGAGCATTGAGGGGAGGAAAAATATTCAAGAAGTAATATGGCATTCTATAAAAGCACATAACCACTACCTAATAATATGGCATTATATAGAAATGAGTCGTGATACTCTCAATTACACGCCTGATGAAATTTACAGGACTAACTGCCATCCCAAATTCATATCCTTCAACTGTGTTTTTTTAATCCTATTATGAATGTCTTTGTAATGAAAAGCAGGTCACACAAATATAGGAACCTAGTTGATTAAAAATGAAATCTTATAATGAGTATTCAAATATGCTACACGGACTTAATGACCAAATGTCAACAAGTTTCTATCAAATTTCACTAAATCTTAAAGGAACAAATTCCGCAAAAAAAAAACATGACACAAATGGAAAAAAATCACAGCGGTAAGTTGTAAATAACATTTCATCTGAATATAAACAAAAAAAATCTAAAATAATCAACAGAGTACAAGCTCAAACAAATAGATAATTGAAACAGAGGTATAAAACCATTTTCAGGTATGCTTATGAGCTGATAGTCTATGTGATTAACATGAGGAAGCTGCACATACTTGATCTAATAGATTAAATCATCTTGTTTAAAGCATACTAAATTCCTTATTTTTGAAAGGTAAAACATAGAAATGGTTTATATCCCTTAACTACAGGTTATGATATTATGCGTTTCATTTTGATGGTTTTAACAAGAGGCAAATTCAACTGATTGGTATGTTGAGTTTTCCGACGATGAAGCAAACACAGGTGCAGTGGCATGGTTTAGGATGTCAGCCCGACAACTTGTATGCTTTTATTTCTAACGGTAAGAAATTTCAAAGATTCTAACATGCATCTTCTTTTTAATAACACATTAACTTATGTATTATTGTCAAATTAGAAAAGAGCAACAAAAAAAAACCTACAAGAAAGAACTTGATTATATATAAAAAAACCTACAAAAAAACCTACATTTGTGGTTTCATAACAATTTTTTATTTGCATAAAATCAATGTCTGACAGTATTGTGTATCTTAATCAACATTTTACGAAAAGTAAACCACAAGTATATTTTATTCTAATACATGTACTTGATCTCTTTTGTTATCAGAATTGCTTACTTATGGTTTGCCTTGATCTGAAAATTAACTTATCTTTTCGTGGGGCTTTCTCCAAAAGAATCATAACATAAGTAACATAACCTGTTACATGTTCATATATATATGTATATAGAGAGAGAGAGAGAGAGAGAGGAATATGAGTATGCTTGGTACCAAGCACAAAATTTGTGCTTGGTAGTGAGGTGGCATATTATCCTCTACTCATTCAAATGGGGGGACCACATTCACATGGGTTGAATGTGGTCTCCCCAATTGAATGAGTGGATGAGAATGAGACACCTCACTACCAAGCACAAAATTTGTGCTTGGTACCAAGCATACCCATTTTTCTCATATATATATATAGCAAAACTTGTGTCAACTTAAGTGGATAGCAAAAAATTATCCACCAAACTTTTTAGTCATTGATGTTACCTAGGGATCCATGAAAGATATGAAGAAGTTTTTTATATATATAAATGAGTGGCTAAAAAGTTGGGTGGACATCCACTTAAGTTGACATATGAGTATATATATATATATATATATATATATATATTATTACTACTCCAGTTCATCACCAAGCTTCCGGTTTGTAAATTTTTAAGTTTATTTATATATATTACTACTACTCCAGTTCATCACCAAGCTTCTGGTTTGTAAATTTTTAAGTTTATTTTCCGTCAAGTATGTAAGTGTCTTTTGTAAATACTACTACTTAGTTTGCTTCCGTTGTTACTGTTCATTACTATTCACATTGTTACTATTCATTACTGTTTTTTATTTTCTTTTTGATATACATGTGAACGAAGAAGAAGATATAGCTATAAACAATATCTATATCCTTTCCTCCGTCTACACAATATTCTCTTACTAGAAAAGGCATTAACACCTCTGTTCTTGTTTGCTTACGAGATGGAAGATTTTCTGTTTTTACAGACTCTTTAATTGGTCTAATTGAGTCAAGTCTAAGCAATGGTCCTATATTCTTTAATGCTTTTCCAAACTTCTCAGTTTCTTTATCAGACCCTGGCATTCTCAAAATATTAATTTTAAATCTTCAAACCTCTGGATTTAATATGGATATTAATTCTGAGAATATAGCTTTAACTTATAGAATCTGCTATAAAGCCATGAATACGCTCACACCTTTAGTTAAGATTAACCCTGAGAAAAGAGCAACTACTTTATTTCTTACCAATGCAAAAAATAATCTGGTAGTACCACGGACTTTAAAATGACATGAAATTCAACTTCCTTCAGTTTGAAAATTAAGTCAAGTCATTGAAGCTTTACCCCCTGAAAATTCTAATCTTCAAAAAATTATTGAACATCCTAATGGTGATGTCGATGTTAACTTTTCTTCGTTTAGAAAAATCACTCTTGAAACTAATGACGAACGACATGCCTCAATTTCTTCAATTCCAACTCGGGAAAAAGATTTCTTTAAACACAACAAACCAATAGGAATTAAATATAACATTGAGCCAACTGCCATTTATGATGATTCTGATTCATCAAGACTAGGTATTAATGTTATTGAGAACTTTGATAATACACCTCCTTTTGACTTTGATAAAGAAGCTCTAAGAAAAGATTTTAATTCTCCAAAAAATCATCACAAAAAAGAATGGTTTTTTAAAACTTATGAAAAAGACTTTAGGTCATCAATTCGAGCCGTATATTATGATTGTATGCGAACCATTAGAAAAAAAATATATCATTTTTCTTATGGTATGAGTTTATTTACGTTGAAGATTAAAAGAATTCTCTTAAACATTTACCTATTGAAAATCAGGTCCATATGCTAAAAAGGATTACAAACACATGGTTATTGAGCAAAATAATTTGAGCAAAATAATTTGAAAATCAGGTCCATATGCTACTCTTATAAAAACTCTTGAGTCAAATTCCAACACAGCCAGACAAGAACATCTCTCTGGTTATTGAGCAAAATAATTTTACTAACATTCATCTTCAAGCAATAGGTAAACAAACAGATAGGATTGAAAACATGCTTCTCAACATGAAAAAACCTATTATCAATCAGATATCTATGCCTCCGTTTGCTCCTCAGACTTTCACTGAGAATATCAAATTAGGAAATAATAAACCTTTTAAACTAAGTGAAAAAATGAGTAATCTTACTGAAGAATTAACTAAGAGATTAAAAGACTTATCTTTAAACAAATCTCCCGCTATTAATGTCTTGTTAGAATATGAAACTCGGTTAGATAATACAGTTGACTATTCATCTGATTATAATGAAACCATCCAAAACATTAGAAAGCAACCTTCTAGCTCAAAAAATTACTATTGAAGACCCACTCCAGCTGATATGTAATTTGAAGAAATAACTGATAATCATAAGACAAATTTTGATGGAAATTCTCTTGTTGAGTGGAATCTTGATGGATATACTGAATACCAAATTATACATCTATTACAAGAAATGCTTATTTACGCTAATGCCTGTAGACAACACGACAATACTGAAAAAGACATTGCAAGTGGAATATGTTCTTCCTTTTCTTATCAGTTACAAGGTTGGTGGGATCATTATCTTACTCCAACATATAAAAATAACATTCTAAATAATTATAAACAAAACCAACTAGGAGAGCCAATTCGCGATGCAAACGGACATTATATTAGTGATGCTGTTTATACCTTACTCCTTTTCATTTACCATCACTTCATTGGCTTAGCTAATAGCCTTCAAGATAAAGTTAGAGAACAATTCATGAATTTTAGGTGTAAAACCCTTACCGACTTTAGATGGTACAAAGATGTCTTCCTTTCCAAGGTCTACCAATTACATGACTATAATAATCCTATTTGGAAAGAAAAATTCATTTTAGGTCTTTCACCCTCATTTGCTGAAAGAATAAGAGAATCCATTAAAGAACAAAGTAATGGACGTATACCTTATGATCAAATTCCTTTTGGAGAATTAATTCAGAGAGTAAATACTATTGGCCTAAAACTTTGTAATGATGTTAAAATTAACAATCAATTAAGAAACCAAAACCTTTTACGAAAAAGGGAATTAGGAGATTTTTGCTATCAATTTGGCTTTCAAATGGAAAACCCAAAAATTAGAAATTATAAAAAACGACAGAAACCAAGAAATACAAAGAAAGAAGAAAATGAATCTCCTAAAAGGACTAAGTTGTATATATATATACTTATACTTATACTTATACTTATACTTATACTTAAGTGGATAGCAAGCCTTTGTCCACCAAAATTTTTATCCACTCATATATATATAAAAAGTCTTTTCATATCTTTCATGGATCCCTAGGCAACATCAATGAGTAAGAAAGTAGGTGGATGGTCCACCTAAGTTAACGTCAATGACTGTAATAATCCTATTTGTGTTTGCATTTTGGTCAAGAGTGTTGGAATTCTCAATTTCTCATGATTATCATTTGAAAGGTATTTTCATTCCATGTTTCTTTTTTATTCGAAGTTGTTGCAATCTGTAGTGAGTTTCTATTTACTATTTTCATGAAAATTGTTTTATACTTAGTAAAAGGACTATGAGATGAGATTATATTTTCATGTGGTTTTTACATTTTATATTGGCAATGTGAATATGGTTCTTCCAATTTCATTTAGTTTTAAATGAAGAAATAATTTGTGAACTTGTATAATTTGCAAAATATTGTTGACCTATCAGGTGTTTAAAAGCATTAGAATTTGAAGTTTATGATTAAGGAAAACCAACTACAATTATTACATCAAGAAAAAAAAGACTTCAGAAAATCGGAGTGTGTTAGATTCATGATGGCTAAATATGTTAAAATGATTCGAGAATTCATGAATTTTTTTTAAACTACTAACCCAGATTATTTTTGCACCTGCTTACATATGTATGAAAATTTATTATGTACTCATATTTTATCGCTTTTTGAGTAATGTGGTATCATAGTTCTACTTTGGTCCCATTTAAAAAAAATCCTGGCTCCACCACTGTCTATAAGCTCTTGTCCTCTTCCACATGGTGGCCGGAGGCACCGTGGACGTACTGTCATTGTACCATGATTATGATCAACACCACATCATCTCTGCCACTGCCATCATCATCATGCAACGCCTGCGGAGGCTCAGGCATCGCTTGGTCTTCCTCCCATGCCGCCACCTTCGAAGGCTTAATTTGTCCAGGGCCCCCGGTCTCCATCACCATCGTAGCAGGCTCCAAAGTCACCAAGCCTTCCTCCTTTGCTGTCACCATCCAAGGCTCCTTCAATGCTACCATCTCCGGCTCCAAAGTCACAAAGTCTTCCACCTTAATTTGCAGTTGCCGTCCATTTCTCCTTCAATGCCGGCGCTGTCTCGGACTCCATCTACGCCATCTTCAGCGCCGTCGGAATCTCCCAAGTCATCTAGTCTTGCTCCTTCTCCGTCACCATCTCCCTCGATAGTGCAGCCCCCGTCCCCTTCACCCAAGACTCAAATATTGGAGCCCCCACATCCTCCTCCAGCACCCACCCCATCTCCATCTCTGTCCAGGTCTAGTCCTTCGCCATCACCCCATGCTTATCTTAAACCTTCTTCTCCTCCACTATCTGCTCCTCTTTCCACCGCCGTAATTATAAACAATCATTTCAACTTCAGGTGCATATGGAATATCAGTACTGTGCCGTCGAAATGTACTCCATCTCCCACTACACCAGCTTCTTCGCCTACTTCTCTTCCTCCTCCGCATGAAGAGTCTGAAGAAGCAGCAACTTCACTGCCGCCACCACTTGGCCCTATTCGAAGCAACACTGCTTGCTACCTTCCTTCTTTTTGTTCTCGCACTGTTATTTGATGCGATAGCTAGCGTTGTATCTTCTCTTCCTTCAATTGTGCCTTTGCTTTTTTATTCAATCCCTTTTTCCTCCTTTTTCTACATTCTGACACTCTATTTATTTGTGCAATAGAAAGAGATTGTATTTTGGTTCATTAGTTTTTACCAACTTTTTCTTGTGATATGTGTGAAGTAATTATTAATTTGTTTGAATATTATCTTCCTGTGTTCTGAGACTCGTAATGCTTATCTCTATCGTAACTCATGAGGTTAACTTGACATTGCACATTGAGTAAATCAAAGGATGCATCAAAAACAACTCTAGCTCTAGCAAGAATCCACTTGCATACTGATTTACTATGCAATCTTGAGAAATAGCATGAGTCAAGCATCTTGAGCGGATGCTTAGAGCTATAAGAATCAGCTGCTAACCACATTGAATTGAATTGAACTCCATGTGTTTTCATCATGTTGGACATGCTACGTACATAGTCTAGTTCATGTGGGTTATGCAACTGCATACTTAGGTAAGCTCATTTGTTCCAATCTCTATACGACAACGCGTCAGCCCATTGAGCCTGACCAACAAACCCTATAATTAAAGGCCCAATCCCTTCTAGGATATTCTTCCTTTCCTCTCTCTCTCTGTACAGTTTTTCCATCCCGTCCCGTCCCGTCCCGCCTAAGCTTGGCAAAGCAAGAAAAAGCAACTGTTGTAACAAGGAAAAAGAAACGATTAGTGTACATGTAAAATTGTTGCAACCAAACAAGTTTGTTTGGTTATATCTTATATATATTAATTTGCTATTCAGAAATGTTGAATGAGTAACCTATAGTTTCTTTTGACCCTGGACTAGTAGAGCGGGATCCAAATGCGTAATCAGTAATCCAAATTATCCTTGATTGTGAGAGTCTAGCTGAGGATATAAGACTGAGAGAATTGATGTCGAAGCAACTACTACTTCGAAGGTATAGATCACGTTGCAGGAGCAATTGGAAACTCATCTTATGTGGTTTTCATGTTCTCCAATAATAATGTCTTTTCTGCATGTTATATAGCCTTAGTCAATCATCTGGGACTTTCTTTTAGATGTGTGACACCTTGTCAACAAATATTCCTTACAAATTTTTTTTTTAAATCTTCTCTAGGGAAAATTCCTATAAGATGTTTGAGATCACGTTGATAAACATTCATTAAAAAATGGGTTTTTTAAAGAGTTTTTTGAGTTTGTTCGGCTCTAGCAATTTGATGGAAAGTTACTGTATCATGACTTTATGACTTGGAGCATGAAAATTGAGCAATGATGATAGATATTTTGGGCTCGACTTTTCTCTTATGCATTGCGCTAGGAGCTACAGAAATCCCTGTGTTTTTTTTTATGTTTAGCCCTATTGTGTTCATGAGCCTAGTATCAGCAGGGCGCTTCTAATTAAATTAAAGACGAAACATGACCTTTCTGTACATGGTAAATTTCTAAACTAAAGACTCGATGTACAGAGACTAGCAATTAAGCTGACATCTGTTTCGCTCCTTGCTAGACCCTTGGGAATTTACTGTTATCGTTACGCTCTGTGTGAATTGGACTGAAATAGTTCTGTATTTATCCAAATTTGCTACTATGTATGTTTCTTTTCTTTTTTTATTTTGCATTACTGAGGAGTTTCAGATTATGACGGACCAGCTGTAGTTTCCTGTCAAAAACCAAGCAATTGCACGCCAATATGTTTTCCCCTTTGATTGTGTTGTTGGGTTTGTCAGATTGAATGATTAAAACGCTGATCACAAGGTTATTAGGAAATAACTCCAAAACACATGGATATCTTTTTGGGAAAATTGCTTCTAGCCCCCAAAATAACAACTATTCTTTCCCCACCCAAGACTTCTTCAACACTCCCAAAACCCCAAAAAGCAAAGCCACAATTTTTTGAGCCCCCAAAACACAAAACTGAAGAGTTTAAAACATGTGAAGACCATAATACTCTCTCTCTCTCTCTCTCTCTCTCTCTCTCTCTCTCTCTTCATGATGTAACTGATGATTTGAAAATGGGTTTTGGGGGAAAAATTCTAGTTCTCTCCAAAATTTTTCAACGGTGTTGACATCGGCAATAGAACTTTCCCGACCTTCATTCATGAGGCAAAGAAAACTACGATCTTGAAAACGGTGATGACGAGTTGCGATGGATTCAACGTCGTCGTTCTCAAGAAAAAGGCGGGAGCTTCGGTGACTCCTGACATAATTTTTTTTCCTTTTTTAACTTGTATACTTGAATCTGAGTGCTAATTTTTTGTTATTTTACATATTGTTGTTTTTTTTTGAAATCGATGACTTGAGATTAAAGCAGAGTCTATAAATTTATATATTGTTGTTATTTTACTGTAATGAGTTTGTTGTTAAGGTTATGAGTTAGTTGTGAAGGAAGGTTACGAATTGATTTTGAAGGTTATGAGTTGGTTGTCAATGTTACGAAGGTTACGAGCTGGTTGTGAAGGTTACGAGTTGGTTGTGAACTTCGGTAATGAGTTGATTATGAATGTTACGAGTTAGTTGTGAAAGTTAGTTAACAACAATCACAAACAACTCATTGTCGAGGTTAACAACCAACTCGTAACATTCACAAACAATTCGTAACCTTCACAACTAACGCGTAATCTTCACAGCCAACGTGTAACCTTGACAACCAATTCGTAACATTGATAACCAACTTGTAACATTAACAACCAACAGGTAACCTTAAAAATCAACTTGTAACCTTGACAACTAACTCGTAACATTCATTCACAACTAATTCATAACCTTAACAACAAATTAATTATAGTAAAATAACAACAATAAGTATATTTACAGACTCTGCTTTAATTTCAAGTCATCAATTTTAAAAAAAAATTATGACAATATGTTAAAAAAAATATAGCATCAGATTCAAGTACAAGCTAAAAAGGGGGAAAACTTACACCGGGAGTCGTCAGAGTTCTCGCCTTTTTCTTCGGAACGGTGACACTGAATCCATCGCAACTCGCATGGATCCTAATCTTCTTCGTCTTAAACGATCCACCCAATCTTCTTTGTCTTAAACGATCCACCGTCTTCATCATCACCGTCTTTTAGATCGCAACAATATATAAATTTGGAGGAAATTAGGATTTTTCTCCCCAAAATCCATTTCAAATCATCAAAGTGACATCATGAAAAAAAGAGAGAGAGAAATGATGTTATAGTCTTCACATGTTTTAAACTCTTGGGTTTTGTGTTTTTGATGCTCAGAGAATTTGTGGCTTTGTTTTTGGGGTTATGAGAGTGTTGAAAAGGTCTTGGGTGAGGGAAGAATAGTTGTTATATTGGAGGCTAGAAGCAATTTTCCCTACCTTTTTTAACATGTTGTATGAAGAATTATCTATGTAGGAGTTGTCGCCAACAATGGCAAAGGTCTCGAAACCTTGAATACATTGTCATTATGCTTATCGATTGCTCAAAGGCAAATTAGTATCAAACTTTAGCGTGTAGTCCAAATTATTGAAACCTCAGAAAAAAGGAAAACAAGGGTTGCAAAACTAGAAATTCAGAAGATATTCGATCCACTTGTTTAAATTTTCCTTAATGTTGGCTTAAAGCTTTCCTTAGTACAGGATAATTGAATTTTAGACAATACTAGAAGAAGGAAAAATACATTGCAAGCAAATAAAGTAGTCATTGACACAGTTTTTATGCAGGATTTTGATAGGTTCACTTGAGGAACTGGTCTTCTAATTCCTTGTCCCTTAAGTTGCACTACTTCAATATAGAGAAGATTGTGTTTGAAAATAGTTAGCACCTTTTTTTCAGTAATTGGCACCTAATCTCCCTCGTTCTTCTTTCTTATTGTAATCTATATACTGATAAGAACATGATACAAATCACATAGACACAAACTTTGCATTACCGTTGCTTGATTTAAGTTCATAAACAACTTCAACTAACTTTGCTTCCGAATACAAAAGATGCTATCATAGTACTAATAGATTGCAATACATTTGCAAGTCATATGTCTAAAAAAAAGTTAAAACAAGTAGTATAATCAGCACTAATAGATTGCGATACAATGCTCAGTAGCTTCCACAAAGTCACCTTGCAAAAAAAAAAAGATAATCAAATAAATTTAGGACCCATTGATATATAAAGAATCAAAAAATAACTACAAAAATGACTTGAACACAAATAACTACAAAAATGAGCATCTCAGCAATGACAATGCCACTACTCTCCTCGATTCCTTCGAGGGTCACCACTTCGCCTCCAACAACCATGTTGATGACATTTCCATCTGCAATCCACCACAATTACTATCCTTCCATTTTCCCCATTCTTATGTAGAAGAAATGAGCGCATATAGGGAAATGAATGTAGAAGATCGAAAAAGACCTGCGGCCAAAGAGGTTGATATGCGCCTCAAAATATGTTTCCTTCAAGCAATTGAGATGTCAGAAGGGGCCAAAACAAACCCATGATCTCACTAAAAGAAGTGAAATCTCCTTCAAAATAAATGCATATAGGATCCAACCCAGACCTTAATCCTACTTTAGCACACCAAAAAGCATGCTAAAGTAGCCAAAGTTAAACTTCAAGTTTCTAAAGTAGGTCAGGAGCTTTTTTACTATAGCTCTTCATTTGTTTAATCTAAGTGTATCTATGCAGTTTTTGTTTTTGGGTCTACAAGGTCCCTTTTGAAATCACCATAAAATCCTGGAGGACATGAGCATTTTATCCATACCAAAGGTTAGAGCTTATATGATATTATCTATTAGAAAAAGTTTCATAGTAATACCTTCATCCTTTGCCACTTCTGCCGGATATTACTTATATATATTACTTAACCATATCCGTGAACTTAACAATGCCTAATTTCTTGCCTAACCCTAGGAAAAAAAGCAATCGACAAAAAGACTAAAAAGGAAATATAGACAGAATCAAGTGTGATTAAGGCCTAGTGGAAATTTCAGTTGCATCCCATTACCATTATCTTCCCACATTTGCTTAATGTTATGAGAAATACTGACAGCTAAAAGCAAGATAAAGATTATGAGTTAGGATTATACAACAATACCTTCTTTGTTGGAAGCTCATAGTTTATTAGAATGTGAGCAGAAACAGGTGCTTCTCCAGGAACAACAGAAGGCAAACAGGCATCTGTTACAACTATCATAGCGCAATTGTGGTCTCCATTTCCAGATTCAGTGCAATCCCCAGGAAGAACATTGATGTTCTGACTCCACTCTGAAGTCGATTGACGAAACTTTTCGAGAATTGATGCACGATCAACTTCAGCCAGATCACTGTACTGCACTTGTGAAGTACAACAATAAGCTGTAATTGAAGAATAAAAAGCATAGCCTGAAAATTCGAAACCGAAGATAATTGAAACTAACAAAGGATAAGCTAATTTAAGGTACTTTTCTTCCTTGATTAAAGCTTTTTAGTTCCTTAAGAATGGTTGAAGGCCTCAAAAAGGTTGCTGCTCAAACACGACATACGAACCTACGGCCTAAATATCTAGGCTTTCCATAGAAATTTAGTATGAGAAGCCAAATACTCATAGCATGCAAACACAATACACCACTTCTCTTACATTAGGACAACAATTGAAGCGCTAACAATCAAAACCTTTGAGGAACAGTCATCATACCACAGATATTTCTACTCACTCAGATCGGAGCGCTGCCATTTCCATATACCAATTTCAGGAGGAATGATCTTACACAATTGAGCATGAAGGCTATAGAAACTGTATCTTTTGTTCTGTATGATCTGTTCTCAGTAATGAATGCTTTGCTTTCCTTCCAGGTTTTATAATATGAAATCTTTACTATCTTTATGATCCCTTCTCAACTCCATACTCCTTATTAATAATTTTCATAGCATCCAACAACGAAAGACTGTCAAAAAACCAACCAATAAAAAAGCAATATAGACGGAGAGATTTCACTATAAGTCATCTGATCACAAAATCTCCTAAACCACAAAAATTATAAACTTGCATTAGTATTATATACTTTCAATCTTATGGGCATACTTCCTTCACATAAATCTCAAGAAGCAGCACTTAATTTCCCCCCAGTCTGCCTCTAACTGAAAATTATGAAGTTCGCACAATTAATGATGAAAGTCATTTAGTTAAATGTAATACCTAATTTGTTTTATCACAATGGAACCTAAGAAATGAACACTCAAGGTTTTTCATCTATCAAATATCAGAAGTATTAACAATAATCAAAATAATCTCTACCAACAAATCTGATATCAACTAAATGACCTGCCAAAGGATAAATATAGCAGCTTCATCATCTGATATTGGGAGACTTAAGTCAAAGCTAACAACTTTCTATAACATCTTATTGGAAAAGGTATAACTACAATCAGTAGAACTCACTGATCAGTGCAAATTTCAACAAATTTAACAGAGTTCAGTGTTTGATCAATGAGGCTCCATTACATTAGAAAACAACACTTTTGCTACTACTTTTAACCCTAACCCTAAATAACCCAAAAAAATCCGATGGAGAAAACCCTAATCCTAGAATCAAGCAGTGAAGAAGAAAAGTCACAAAAAATGTAGAAAAATCGAGCAAAAATTAGAGAAACAACCACTGATTGTACCTAAAGTAACTCGATCGAAGGAGAGTCGATGACTCGGTCGTTGAAGAGAAAGGCGATGCTGGGCGGAGGCAGTGACTTCAGCGGAAGAGGCGATGCCGTGGCGGAGGCGGTGTCGGAGGCGGCGTCGGATGCTCTGGGTTCGAGAGGCAGTTGAGGAGGCGGAGGAGGGATTGGGGTCGGGATCGATGCCGATGGATGAGGAGCTCAGCTACCCTAGAGAGTGAAAGAGAAGAGATTTAGGGGTTTTAGGGTTTTGGTTTTGGGATTACGAGCGGGCAAATGGGTGAATAGAGACCGTCCGTTTAGTGTAGTTTGCAATGAAACCGTCTGGTTAGACTCATTTAACTAAATGAGTGGGTTTTAGACGGGCCAAGTGATGGGCGGGTTAGGTGGTGGGTAAATGGGTATGGGCAAAATTGGTCCAGGACAATTTGGGTCGCCGATTACACATTCGAGGCCCGCCCTACTAGTTTTGGTTAAATATAAGAAACAATCGGTTGTACTTTCAACATTTCTCAATCAGTAATTGTTCAAAAGGATTTGTTCAATTACTACAATTTTACAGGTAATCTTTCTTTTTCTTGCACCAATTGTTGCTTCTTCTAGCTGTGCCAAGCTCCATCAGAACAGGATGAATTTTTTTTTTTAAACGTAGAAAAAGGAGGAGGGAGGCAAATCTCTGAAAATTAGTGGAACGGGGAAAAGAGAGGAAGGGGGTGTTTGGTTGTATTGTTTTTGAGAAATGTTTTCTCAAAAGTACTGACGCATGGCATTTATGTAATTAAGAGTTTTCTATACATTTCTATAAACTGTGTTTGGCTCCAAAAAAATTTACAGAAATGTTTTCTGTAAAGTGCCCAAAAGTACCAAATTTTATGGAAATTGATTTCCTTCTAAAATGCGAGGAAATCTCTTGGAAATCTGACGCATTCATTATTTAAATAATAAAACTCATTAACTTTTTTCTACAAAGTTCTCACTTTTCTATAAAGTTTGTGGTGTTTGGTTACATTTCTATAAATTATAAGAAATGTTGTTATTTTCCCAAAAGTTATTTCTCATTTTCTTGTTTTGAACCAAACAAGCACAATACAAAAAATAAGAAAATTTGTACTTTTTAACTTCTCAAAACTTTTCCTATAATTTTTTTAAGAAATATAAGGAAATCAAATTTAGGATGGAAAACATTTCCTATAATTTATAGAAATGTAACCAAACACCCCCGAAGATACAAGATTGTACACCTTGCAGCCTTGATGTGGCTAATTTGCCGCATCCCTCGGAGAGAGAGAGGAGGAGTTTGGGCGCGCGCGGCGTTCGCATGTTCATGTGCAAGAGAGACGCCAGTAGGATTTAAACTACGGGTTAAGTCTTGATTTTAAGGTTCTGCTGTAACAGGGTGTAACTGAGTCGCACTCAACCGGCTGACGGGTTGGCTTAAAGAAATTTGAACAAATAACCGTACTTAAATATTCCAAGTAAACGTATCCATTCCTAGAACAATTACAGAGATATCGACTCGAGCATTCCACAATTTCCGCATGGATTGTTCTACGACTACTACTCCCGGTCGAGATACTTAGCCTACGAAAATCATGCATAGTCGGCCTGTTATCCATTGAATCAAGGACAAATTTTGAAAACAAACCCATTCTGAAACTTAGTTATAAAAAACGACTTATTCTCAGCTTATTTGCCAAAACCGACTCGGTTTTAGCCATTTTGGCGGAAAAAAAAAACTAAACTTCACGGGACTCGAAGTCCCGTGAAGTTTTTTACATAACAAAACTTAAGTTTTTTACATAACAAAACTTCACGGGACTTCGGACAATTTTTCGTCAAAACCGACCCATCTGGCTGAAACTGAGTCGGTTTTGACAAATAAGATGCAAATGGGTCGTTTTTTATAAATAAGTTTCAAAAGGGGTTTGTTTTAAAAAAAATTCCTTGAATCAATCGTCTTTATGTAACTATTCATTTCGTACATGTCTCAATTGCTCACTTAATGTGAATGCCCAAGCATCTTAAGGGAACAAGAGGGGTTAAAAAAAAAAGATTTCTGGAGGATTATTCTGAAATCCATGCATTCTCGATGCCGGTAGTTCACAAGTAACCTCCTAAAGGAGATCAGTGGAAAAGTTGATTGAATGGACAAGAGAAGAAATGCATCAAGCTCACGCACGCATTTTATCTAACTTGTCTGCTTTCTAGTGAAAATAATATATATTACCTAGTATTAATTTGTATAATTTTCAACCACCCTAGTCATGCAAATCACGTTACCGGATATATAGCATTAGTTTAACGTTTTATTAGGGTATGATCACTATTCACTAAATATTTCTATTCTGGGTTTCAGATTTCTTTTCGACTACACGTACAAAATAAATGTGTGCTTCCCTCTTGCGTTTGATATAGTTCAGTCAATAGCATTGATTATTTCTTCCTACTTCGTCTTCAACGTGTAAAATGTCAGGTTGGTTGCAGCATCCCTATAATGTCAAAATCTGCAATCACTTTCTTACGTTTGGTTGATTGCAACATTTATTGAATCATGTCGTAATCTATCGCTCTGGTTTAAACAAGATGGACACAGTTGGCGCACTTTCCGAACAGAGTGTTTGAATTTCCCAGCCTGCATTAATAACACCAAAAAAAAACTACAGAAAATATTTACCCGGCCACACTTCCTGAAGTTTTTCCTCGGAGCTGAATGGAGAAAAGAATTTATGTAGCCAGCCGCGCAAATTGAAGGCATCAATCAAATCCGCTATTTATGGATTGCGCGCAAGAGTTGATAGAAATATTGAGCCTAAGCCGATGGCTTCAACTGCCTCGTTCATTTTTTGGAGCTATAAGGCAAGGGTAAACATGATCAGAGGACTCGCCATTCTGCATCGACTAGAAACACGAAGGAGGTATCTTCGCGTTCATATGTCATTGAACGGCAAATGTGATCCTTCCATTATCAAACCCTAATCATCCAGTTAGTAATTGATTGCGGATATTGGCAATTGTTGATTCTGAAGTTGGGACGAAACAACAAGTTCAGAGCTCATGCTTTAATAGTATTTATGTGCATACCTGATTTCACATCGATCATGCTTCAAAAAGAAGAGACAGATAACTCAACAATGTTGTAGGACGCATTCATTAAAGGAGCACCGTGAGTATATTAGGGGCTGTTTGGTTGGTTAAAAAAAAAGGAAATCTATTATGGGAAACTTATATTTCCTATAACAGGTTGTTTTCTTTTGTTTGGTTCACCTCCTAAAAGTAAGAAAAGAGAAGAGATGAGATGAGTTGTCATCATCTTTATTGGAGGATGTGACACAATTTTAAGGAAATCCATTTCTTAACTTTTTTTGAGGAAATGGGTGGAAGACAAGTTTTAGTGATATCCTTATCCTATTTCTTTTTATTTGATTCTAGGAAATCAACCAAATGGCCCCTTATTAGCTATGGTGCACTAACAAACTAAAACACTACAGGTTGTCAGGGACCTGGCCCACATTAAAGGAGACTAGCGACATAAAATAAAATAAGTCAATCTGATACCTTCTGAATCTTTTAAGTTTGATACAGGTAGTCAGGGACCTGGAGCAAGTAGGGGTTGGCACTAGACCAAGATGGCCCACGAGCCCTCTCGCTCAGCTCGTTCTTGAGCTCGGCTCGATCCAGCTCGGCACGGGACGAGCCCAATTCAGCTCGCTACAGTAGCAGGCCGTGGGACCGTGCTAGGCTA